ATGCTTTATCACGTGCACCACTGAAAGAAGCACCTGAAACAGTCTGTGACACTGTGAACGATGTATCCTTTTGTCCCATTAAAGCTGATCAGCTCCATCACATAAGATGTGCAACACAACAGGACCAAACTCTCTGTCCTCTCATGGACACAATCATGAAAGGGTGGCTGAACAACAAGTCTGAAGTTCACCCAGCGGTGATACCCTTCTTCCTGTATCGTGACGAACTGACAGTTAAAGACATCATCATACTACGCAGGGAAAGAGTCGTCATTCCTGCGTCACTGAAAAGAGATGAAAGAAAAAGTTCATGCTGGACATCTTGGAATCAATTCATGTCTACGCAGAGCCAGCTCTCTCATATTTTGGCCTATGATGTCACAAGACATTAGAAGTTTCATTGAAACGTGACGTGTGTGCAGCATATGGGGCTTGTCAACCTTAAGAGAATCACCCAAGAGACCATGGGAGACAGTAGTCTGTGATCTATTCTCACTACAAGGTCGCAACTACATGGTGACAGTAGACTGTTACAGTAACTTCTTGGAAGTTGATTTTCTTGGAGAAGAAATGACATCTCAAACAGTGATCACGAAACTCAAACACCACTTTGCTCGTCACAGGATTCCTGACAAAGTCATATCTGATGGCGGACCACAATTTGCCTCAGACAGGTTCAAACAGTTCTCAAATCAGTATGGATTTGCACATGACATGTCAAGTCCTGGAAATAGTAAATCTAATGGCGCAGTTGAAGCAGCTGTCCAAACCGCCAAGAACTTGATGAAATAATGTAAAGCAAGCAATGAAGACCCTTACATCGGACTTCTCAACCTCAGAAATACACCAACAGAAGGACTCGATACAAGTCCCACTCAGAGACTGTTCGGAAGAAGAATGTGAACACTCCTACCAACACTGAAATAAGATTGAATGTTCCCAACACCCAGACACCACTGATTGACCAACACAAATCTGAACTGGCTGAATCAAGACACAACTTTGGTAAAAAATCTTCCATCGCTTACAATCGGACAACATGTAAGAATGCAACCAATTAGATTGGGTGAAAAGGAATAGAAATCTGCAACAGTTCCAAAGAAACTTGGAAGCCGAACTTATCAAATTCAAGGAGAAGACAGTGGTGTGTATTAAAGAAATAGACAGCAGATTCAACCATGTAAATCTCCACGACAAATGGACACTCCTGTAAAAACTGTGAAACCTGTGCAAAAATGTGAAATTCCTGCAACACTGCCAATCAGAAATAATCAAGTGAAAAACCTCACACCAGTCAAATCAGAGAACTATGTAAGCAGATCCGGAAGAACAGTGAAAGCAGTTACCAAGCTCAAACTGTGAATGAACATTAATTGAATTATCAATTAACAATAAATTTCTACTTTATTCCTGTAAGAAGTTATCAGGATACTAGTCAGTTTTAAATGCATTGATTCTAGTCATTTGAGTTAAAGTTTATTGTTTAATTCATAGTTATACTAAACTTTAGTATGAAACTATTGACAGGGATCAAGATTATTTTGTATACTTAATGTTTAAAGCTCTGCATAAAAAGCTCAATAATATCTTATAAAATAATACATTGCTCTATTGGATAATGTACTTTCTTAGCTTAAAGGAAGGAGGATGTTACGTGAAGACATATTATGAGTGCCTCACTCAGTATTACATTGCTTGTACAATTGGTCAGTAATAAACTGGAGTTATCTCTCTTGAATCTCAATGAGTGTTGTTGATTGGAAGTGCCATGCTATATAAATCGTGGCTAATGCACACGCAACACATACGGCTTCTGTACCTCTTATTTGAAATTAAAGCAGCAACGCCATACTCCTTGCATTGTTTCGTTTGATTAGAGCTAATCCCACTTAACACTACTGTAAAGAAAGCAAATTTCTGTTCCAAATTATGACTGGTGAATTGTTCGATTAACAACCAATAGCTAACTGCGTAACAATATCATTACACTTTAAACAGAGCTCCAAATTGGACCAATTATCTTTACATAACTTTAAGTCATGACTCACGATTTTATTCTGCCCAATTAAGCAGTGCATAGCAGAATATTGCAGAAAAACTAATTGCATGACAAACAAGGCTATCAACACAGATACAATGTAAACAATACTGTTTAGAGACTAACGATACTATCACCGTTTTTAATACCTTAAATCACTGTCCAAAGTTTTAGGGAAGATCCCCGATTAAACGAAGTGCTGTCATGTTGTTGTACTTGGGTTAGATTTGATTGAACGAGAATAATAGACACGCTCCCTCAAAAGCTCAAGTATCAGAAGCCAATCCAGTAATGGCCAGAGACGGATTTCTCAGGCCATTGCTTCAGGAATATGCAGCAACGCAAGCATAACTAACAACCAACAGACCTGCTGCAGACTCACATGGACATGATGTAGAAGCTCCAGAACTAGACTCGCCAAATTTGTTAACCATTTCACCCAACACCAACTTAAAGATTGAAATTCATAGTCAACGATTCGCATGAAGTTGAACCAATTGCATACTTGATACTACAGCCCCAGAACTCATCAATAAAGAAGAATTGTTAGCAGAAGAATTGTACAGTCCATAATTGTAATCCAGGTCTATCAGAAACCCGGTAAAATATGCTTGTTAAAACCGTTACAAACTGCCTTTCTTGGTTGTATTCGTAGCCGTTGAAATCAGATATACTGCTTGGGTCAGTTAGGCACTACACAGGATGTTGCAACTGGAGACCATCGCCGAAAAAAAATGCCACAAGGGTTTCCAATAATAGACATGGATCCAGCCAACCTTAGCTATGTTTACTCAACAATAACATTCATTACTGATGAGTGTAATCATCATGGTTGTACCCTTTCGACCAACCATTATGATGGAATGATATATGGCATTTAGTGATAGGACTAACATTGAAAAAAACATGAACACAACTTTATGGATAACAATCACTAGCAACTTGAATAGTGCAACGTTTCAACGAGTATCCTCTTGTTGTTATCAAGCACAGGGTAAACGATAATATGATGTCAAAAGGCCCGCAACTCGCTGATCTTCACATTCTTTACTTTGTAAATTGGTAAAACTCTTTAGCATTGTATTGATCCAAGAAAAAAAGGAATCTGAGTTCGACACAACTAAAACTCAGACCGAACTTCTGAAATGCTACATGTTTTTTCTATGGACTTTGAAAGATGTCTTCCTACGAATGACCAACACTGCCTAGTCCCAGCCTCTATTCCCGAAGTGGCTAGTGAGAACACCCACTCCAAGATCTCCATATGGTGATGAAATGGCCACAGGATGTTAAGAGTTACAACGACCATCTAATATAAATCTGCATGCCTAGTTTCCTAAAAATTAACTCTCAGTGGAAAGGAGTCAAAGGACTATTTCGTGACTAATGGTTAGATATCAACAACCAGAATATTTGACAATTTAGCAAACAATTTTATATTATTGACCGTGTTTATTTGCATGGTACCTACAATTGTCCAAAATTTAACTGTCAATCGTTTGTAGATAACAACTTCAATACATTGAACAGAACAATATTCAGCAAAATAAATACTCCCCATAGATACACATTGTATTACATTATGAATAATGAGTTATCCGACTTTAAGCTGAAACATGTAGTGTTATTATTTGGGAAGTTTCCTAACGGTTATGCGTTTTCTAGGTTTATTTGCTGACCTTAGGGACAGTTCTGGGATCAGACAAATTTGAAAGAAAATCTACCGAGAAAACACAGTTGGACACATTTCGACCCGGAGGCATATGCCAAGGCAACACATGGATATTTTGTCATAGACTATGTGTTAGTGCGCTGGTACGATTTGCAATTATCACCAAGAGGAAATGATGACATGTATATAGATAATGATAACAAGAAATACTTGAATTGTTTGACAAGATGATACAAGTAATACATTTTCACACTATAAACGTAACCATCCGCAAGAAATTGGATGTTTATGGTTCCACTGGCGGTCATATTGGATTTATACTAATTATTAGTCTTGTTCACCCAGAACCTCCTAATCTTCAACATACGGAGGGTCTGGGACCGTTGTCAATATTTGACATTATTAAAAAGAACAATCTGATTAAAATACAGATCTATAGTTCGTTTCGATTTTTATGTTTTCGATGGCCTACACTACATGAAGATCTGACCAGTTGTTTTGGGAGGTTACATCAGTGGTCATATGAGCGGCTTTTAACCCTATGATGTCAGATATTTGATTAACCAATCAGCATTGATGTTTCTAGTGGTTTTCCCACAGTTCCGTGCGGCTTGTGCCAAAAGCTTGCCTTAACAGACTGTTTCATTGCCTAATCCTCACATCATCCAGAACACATCAATGATAACAAATCTTCCCGATCCAAGTGTAGTAAAGACAAGTAAAACGAAATTTTGAACTATAAAAAACAAAACAGAATAGGTTCTGTGTTTTAATCAGATTGTTAAAGGAACTACTTTTATTTAGTTTATATTTCAACATGGCTACCATGAACTTTTGTACTCTGGTGACAAAGTTTCAGTAGACCCTTCTGGACAATGAACAATGGGTCAATATAATATATAGAACTTTGCAACGGGTGACTTGCTGTTAAAAAATGTTGAATCACTACGCCATAATGTAATCGGGTTCCATAAAATAAAATCTATACCAAAGAATTATATTTATTTATTTGTGTGTGTAAGAAAGGGTTGGGTGATAAATAAAATCTCCTACTCGTCTTTTCTGATATTTAAAAAGACTCATAGGAGATTCTCTATATAACAATAATGTTTTTTAAAATGTACTAGAATGGACATAATGTAGAAATGAATAAAAGACAAATTGTAGGATGGAAAATTATTGTATTCACCAAACTAATGTTGTCAAACAAATCTTTCATTTGACCTTTTTTTATCACTGTAATAAGTCTAATCTGTCAATAATCTGGTCTTCTTTCTTTTATTTTTTCAGATGAAATTGCCCTCTTCCCAGTGATATTTAATTTAGCTTCACATGCCAGTATCAAAGCTAATGCCACTTGTGGAGAAAATGAACCAGAAGTGTTTTGCAAATTAGTCGAACATGTTCGGATATTTCCTGCTGAAAACCTCCATTGCGATGTATGTGATTTACGTGGAAATAACAGAAAACAGATGCATCCTATCTCAAATGCTATCAATGGTCGAAACACTTGGTGGCAGAGCCCTTCAATAACAAATGGTCGTCAGTTAAACTTTGTCACAGTAGAAATAGATCTTGGTCAGGTGAATATATACATTGTAGCTTACTTTTAAAATTTGCACCAAAGCAGGTGTGTGCAACATATACTCTACCAAGTGCCCTATTAATTTTATCTTAACATTTGGCTGTTCATATTTATTGCTGTGTGAGTCATTGAAAATTGCTGTATGAGGAATTCCTCTGAGTTTGTCATATTAGTCCCATATATAATATTTGTATCATATTGCTAGGGAAAGAGTATATATTGTCATAACTCAAGTCTTTATGGAGCTCATCAAGTAAAGGGCACTTACTGGGTTAATCTAATACAGTTTCCCCCATTATAGATAAATGTTGTATTTATAGGTCTAATATTTTTCTTAATATTCCATATTATTCCAGTTGTTTTTCGACTTTGAGTGAAATGAGGAATTAGTTAGAGGAATATAATCTACAATAGGTTATAAGTACTTTTGACTCCTACATGGCACCATTTCTTTGGGTCTAAATATTTCCAGTCTGAGCCTCGCTTTGTTTCAGGAACCAAAATAAATTTACAGGAATAACCATTTCTTTTAAAGATGTCTAAATGAAACGTCTTTATACGCCCACATTTTCATGTGGACGTATATTGTCATCGCCCCTGTCCGTCTAGACGTCCGCAATTTGTTTGTGGACACTCGACAGATCACAATTCTTATCTGATTTTGACAAAACTTAAAATATAGGTTTATCTTCAAAAGATCTTGGTTGCTTTCAATATTGGCATGTATCGGATCGAAACTTCATGGATTATGGCCCCTGTTTGTACGAAAAATCCTGTTTTTCAGCTTGTGGACCCAATAGAGGTTACAATTTTAATCCTATTTTGATGAAACTTGAAATGCAAGTTTATAACCCAAAGATCTCGGTTCCTTTCGATATTTGCGCATATCGGACCGTAACTTCCTGAATTATGGCCCCTGCTTGTACGAAAAATCGCGTTTTTAGCTTGTGGACCCTATAGAGGTCATAATTTTTATCCGATTTGAAAAACCATATTATTATATCACTGTTACACCCTAATTACAGCTGAGTTCGAATTTCATGAAAATCGGCCCAAAACTGAGACAAAATGGCCGCCCTTTGTTCTCAAATAACGTAAAAATATGGTATATCAAGGTTGTGGACCCTATAGAGGTCTCAATTTTTCTGCGATTTTGTTGAAACTTGAAATGTAAGTTTATAACCAAAGATCTCGGTTCCTTTCGATATTCGTGCATATCGGACCCTAACTTCCTGAATTATGGCCCCTGATTGTACGAAACATCGCGTTTTTAGCTTGTGGACCCTATAGAGGTCATAATTTTTATCCGATTTAAAAAAACGTTTGAATATATCACCATTACACCAGGGTTCTTAATCCATTTTGAAATGAACCGGCCATAGGTAGGCCTAACGGATAGTCGTCTTTTCAACAACAAACATGTTAGTTTATGCATACTCTATTCACAACAGTAATTGCATAATTCATTAATTGCATAACGTATTCAGGATAATAGTAGCTGAAACTCTGAATAAACAAGACCTTTGTAATTGCATAGTCATATTATTATTTCAGCAACTTGCATTGCATATTCCTACACTTTTGCTTTCATCCAACTCAACGGAAGTTATGAATTAGTAAAAAGAAAAACTACAAGTACATACAAATGGTTTTTAAATTATTTTATTCGTAAGCACATGTTAAAATATATAAAAATAACAAAGTATATAAGTATATAAATAACAAAGTAGCACAAATCAGTTTCCGTGTATAGTCGGTACTCGGAAATATGCTGTACGTGCGAAAGGTCACGTGGCCAATTTTCATGATTCAGATTAGTTTATTTTTAGTGTTACCCGTAAACAAATTTAATGCAGCAGGACTAGTTTGGATATCTGAGAGGATCTCTTCCTCAATTTCACCACATGAATTCACCACAAAAATTAAAATCACGATATAATTTTTTTGTCATTTCATGTCCCTGCTGTTCTGTCAAATCGTTCAATTGTTCATAATTTTTGATGGCAATGTTTCTTTTTGCTATAAAATACATATTTCGTATTAACGCCTTCCGGCCTTCGACTTTGGTTAACCTATATCTGACGTGGGAGGATCTCCGGCTTTTGGAACTTCCATTGACGACATGCATGCTTGAAGTTCAAGGTCAACGTCGCCATCACTATCTTCAGTTAAATCTTGTTTATGTTTCCTGTTGTCATTCTGCGAGGTGTTCAAGTACTTCAACATTGTGTTTGAGAGAAATGAATGAGCCGACATTAGAAATGAAATGAAATGAAATGGGGTTTAACGTCCTACTGTTCTGCTCCTATACTGGGCTAATGAAGACGGGCATGCGCCATACAGTGTGCTATGAGGGAAATTTTGCTCGGGCAGCGGCACTATCGCCTACTCTTATATCGAATTCCAACTGCCAGGGGATCTTTTACGTGCATTCCAATATATACACGGGACCTCGGTTTTTCGTCTCATCCGAAGGACTAGACAGCTGTCCTTGTCAGGCCCTCTGTCCTGCATCACTGACAAGGGGAAACCACGCCGGAAAATCAGGAAGAACTTTCTCGGCCAATGCAGGGATCGAACACCCAACCTCCAGGCTAGCGAGCCAGCGCCTTACCCACTTAGCCACGTGATCCCCCAGCCGACATTGGATTATATACATTCTTTTACTTGGCATGATAACCACAATTAAGTTGTTTAGTTATGAAATAAGCCGAAGGTATTCATTGTAATGATTGACTCTTTGATGGGTTTCTTAATCGACGAGTAATAATTAACTCTTTGTAATCGGCCGAAAGTAGATTGATTTATAATACCATAATGGCCGGTTCATTGTTTTACCAATCGGCCTGATAAATAATTCTTTGTAAATCGGCCGAAAGTAGATTGATTTGTGATACCTTAGTGGCTGGTTCATTGTTTTACCAATCGGCTAGATTAAAGATCAATTGGCTAAAGCCGACAAAAAACGGTCGATTAAAATCCCTGCATTACACCCTAAGGATAGTTGAGTTTGAATTTCGTTAATATCGGACCAAAACTGACAGACAAAATGGCTGCCCCTCGTACTCAAATAGTGTTAAAATATGGTATATAAATGTTGTGGGCCCTCTACAGGTCACGATTTTCTTTTGATATTTATGAAACTTGAAATGTAAATTAATAACCCAAAGATCTTGGTTCCTTTCTATATTCGGCATATCAGATAGAAACTTTCTGAATTATGGCCCTTGATTGTACGAAAAATGACGTTTTTAGCTTGTGGTCCTTGTAGAGGTCACAATTTTTATCTGATTTAAAAAAGAATGTGTGAATATATCACCATTACACACTAAAATCATGGATCCTTTTGATAATTGCGGATAAGGAAACCGTTTAAAAATTTCACCATTCCACCATAATGAAGGTTGAATTCGAATTTCGGGAAAGTCAAAATGAAACTGCCCAACAAAATGGTCGCTCTTTGTTCGCAAATTGTGTAAAAGTATCCCAAAGATCTCAGTCCTTTTGATATTTGGATTATTGCCCCTGATAGACAAAAAATCCTGTTTGTTTTTAGCTTGTTCTCTATACATCTCTTGCAAAATGTGGACGTATCCTGCCTGGCAGCCGCTGGTTAGAATTATTATTTATAATGATGATAATTGGAGGGATTATTAATTGCAGAATAAGGGGTTGTTGCTATACATGATACATGTATTCCTGTAAGATAGACTTCTTGACACAAGATGAGTACCTCTTCCCCCCCCCCCCCAAAAAAAAAATAAATTGTGTATTGTAATTTAGATCAAATTAAAATACTAACATTAGGGTTATTACATGTCAAGCAGACAAAATAAGGGAATCCTTTAATAAATTTAGAGTGATTTGAAGATTTGTTTAACATTGTCACATGGATACAGTCATGTATCTATACTAATATTTGTGACTGTCGTTTGTCTGTCTGTTTGTCTGTCTGTTCGGGGTTGGCGGCTACACTAGGTCTGCCCCGAGTCTGAAATTTGGGGTATAGGGGTAGCTCGGACCAGGGAGTAACATAGGCCAGGTGGCGTTAGTCTACCACTTCAGGTTTCGGGGTTATGACCCCCGAGCGAAGCCGGGCATTCTTCTAGTATTAATATATTTGATTTCAATTTATCAAATCTTTTTTTCAGGTTTATCAGATAGCATATATCATCATAAAGGCAGCTAATGCTCCCAGACCAGGTAACTGGATATTAGAAAAGTCTATAGATGGTATAACATATACACCTTGGCAATATTTTGCTATTAGTGATAGAGAGTGTAGAGAATTTTATAATGTTCAACCTGCTATTGGTGTTCCTAAATTCACCAGAGATGACCAGGTTATTTGTACCTCGAGATATTCTCGTCTTGACCCTTTAGAGAATGGTGAAGTAAGTATGATATATACAGTATATATCTATCGCTTAAAATTAAATAGTTAGTTGATGAATAGTATGTACAATATTAGAGCGATTATATCTTAAATTTTTTATTCCCAAAGTATCATGTTTTGTAAGGTGCAATAGAGATCTGGTATGATTAAAGCGATAATTTCATATTTTCTAAGAAAGTCAAAACATAATTATTTCTGTCTTTTGCTCAATAGGTTGTCAACTCACTATTATACGACCAAAGGTATTATTCTCCCACTTAAAAATCCTTTGACCCCGAAAATAATAACACAATTGTTTTTCTATGGAATAGCTATCTTCAAATGTTTGAATTTGAAGTTAAAAATGATATTTTTGCCAATTTCTCAACTGGCAATAGTGAATTATAGGATTAATGGGATTATTCTTTAACAAGGTAGGACTGTTTATAGATACCATCTATTTTAAGGGTTTATTTTAATACATTTTAAAAATATAACTTAAAAATATGAAATTGCAACTTTAAGACCATATTAAATGGCATTACAAATGTTTTAAATTATTATTAAAAATGATTATAATACTTTTTACAGATATTTGTATCATTGGTTAATGGTAGACCAGGTGTTGAAGAGCCATCTCAAACTTTACTGGTAAGATTCTTTATAATCTATTTAAATTAAAAAAAATAACTGACGACCCAACACCTAAAAGTATGGTGCTCTATTTCGGTCACTTCCTGCGTCGCCCTTATAAAAAAGCACCGCATGACGTGCGGCGAATTGTGCATCGCACGTCGCCTTTTTCGGTGTTAAACTATTGAGAAAAAAAGTGACGTGATGAAATGCACATGTACCAAGAGAATTCATTTGCAGTTTGTTTGTTGTTTGGTATTTTATCTACAATACAGTAATTTATATTGGACACGAGGAACTGTCAATACTATTCTTCATATAACAAGACATTTTTATACGCCCACATTTTCATGTGGACATATATTGTCGTCGCCCCTGTCCGTCCGTCCGTCCGTCCACAATTGTTTGTGGACACTCTACAGGTCACAATTCTTATCCGATTTTGACGAAAATTGAAATATAGGTTTATCTCCAAAAGATCTCGGATGCTTTCGATATTGGCATGTATCGGATCGAAACTTCATGGATTATGGCCCCTGATTTTACGAAAAATCACGTTTTTAGCTTGTGGACCCTATAGGGGTTCCAATTTTTATCCGAGTTTATTGAAACTTGAAATGTAAGTTTATAACCCTAAGATCTCGATCCTTTCGATATTCACGCATATCGGATTGTAACTTCCTGAATTATGCCCCCTGATTGTACGAAAAATCGCGTTTTTAGCTTGTGGACCCTATAGAGGTCATAATTTTTATCTGATTTAAAAAAACGTTTTAGTATATCACCGTTACACCCTAAGGATGGTTGAGTGTGAATTTCGTTAAAATTGATCCAAAACTGACCCTCGTTCTCAAATAGCGTAAAATTATGGTATACAAGGTTGTGGACCCTCTAGAGGTCACAATTTTCTTTTAATTTTGATGAAACTTGAAATGTAACTTTATAACCCAAAGATCTTGGTTCCTGTCAATATTCGCGCATATCGGACTGTAACTTCCTGAATTATGGCCCCTGATTGTACGCAAAATCGCGTTTTTAGCTTGTGGTCCCTATAGAGGTCACAATTTTTATCTGATTTTGTTGAAACTTGAAATGTAAGTTTATAATCCAAAGATCTCGGTCCCTGTCGATATCGGATAGTAACTTCCTAAATTATGGCCCCTGATTGTACGAAAAATCGCGTTTTTAGCTTGAGGTCCCTCTAGATGTCACAATTATTATCCGATTTAAAAAAAATGTTCCAATATATCACCGGTGCACCGTAATTTTGGTTGACTTCGAATTTCGTGAAAATCCGACCAAAATTGCCGAACAAAATAGCCGACCCTCAAATAGCGTAAAAATATGGTATATCAAGGTTGTGGACCCTCTAGAGGTCACAATTTTCTTTTAATTTTGATGAAACTTGAAATGCATGTTTGTAACCCAAAGATCTTGGATCCTTGCGATATTCGGGCATATCGGATGGTAACTTCCTGAATTATGGTCCCTGATTGTATGAAAAATCATGTTTTAGCTTGTGGTCCCTGTAGAGGTCACAATTATTATCCGATTAAAAAAAACATTCAAATATATCATTACACTGTAATGTTTATTGAGATTGAATTTCGTGAAAATCGGGCCAAAATTGCTGGACAAAATGGCCGCCCCTCGTACGCAAATAGTGTATAACATCTGGCATATCAAGGTTGTGTACCCTCTAGAGGTCACAATTTTGATCCGATTTTGATGAAACTTGACATACATCTTTATAACCCAAAGATCTTGGTTCCTTTTGATAATTCATGAATTATGGCCCCTGATTGTACGCAAAATCGCGTTTTTAGCTTTTGGTCCCTGTAGAGGTCACAATTTTTATCAGATTTAAAAAAAAAACATGTGAATATATCACCATTACACACTAAGATCTTGGTTCCTTTTGATAATCGCGCATATCCGAACATAACTTCCTGGATTATGGCTCCTGATTGTTCAAAAAATCACATTTTTAGCTTGCACAATTTTTTTTTCCGATTTTAAAAACCGGTTAAATATATCACCATTCCACCATAATGATGGTTGAATTCGAATTTCAGGAAAATCAAAATAAAACTGCCTGAGAAAATGGCCGCTCTTTGTCCACAAATTGTGTAAAAGTATGCAATATGAAGGTTGTGGACCATCTAGAGGTCACAATTTTTATCCGATTTTGATGAAACTTAAAACATATCTTTATATCCCAAAGATCTCAGTCTCTTTTGATATTTGCGCATTTCAGTCCATAACTTTCTGGATTATTGCCCTTGAAAGTACAAAAAATTATGTTGTTTTTAGCTTTTTCAATATCCATCTCTTGCAAAATATGGGCGTATCCTTCCTGGCAGCCGCTGGTTACTGACATAATTAATATGAGAATATATTTCTTTGTTGGATATCCTGCGACAAATTAGCAATCATGAAGAAATCAAATTAAGATCGATGTTGAAAGATTCCAAGTTTACATTCACTTCTGCACTAGTTGACCTAGACACATAGTCTGTAATCATTGAATGAAATATGGGAACGAAAGTTGGCTACATGTACTGGCAGGGCCCTCACAATACAATGTGGCACCCCAGGGCAAAAGTTTCAGTGACGCTCCCCGACCGTTACATACTGTAACGGCTTTGTTCAGTGACTGCGCTCAGTTGATTTTTGATGATTAAAGAAATTTTAAAATACATGTAACATTTTTTGTACTTTTAACACTTTGTCTAAATAACTATTTATTAAATCAACTTATATGTAAATTTTTAAATTTATTTCCTCTTCAACTCTCTATTTGATTGAAAAACCCTATAATATGTCTTGGAAAAATCATAATTCTGCCCTCTCTATTTGCTGAAATATGAACTGGTTTACACAGGTTTAGGGGAAGCGAAACCAGTGATTTGTTAATATGATGATTATTTCAGGATTTTACCTCTGCAAGATATATACGTATTAGACTTCAAAAGATACGAACATTACATGCTGATTTGATGACCTTCCAAAACAACAAAAACCTGAAAGATTTGGATCCTACTGTCACTAGGAGGGTATGTTGAGAAATAATGTTAATGTTTTTGACATCATCTTTGTTGACTATTTGGGGATCACGTGGGTAAGACGCTGGCTCGCTAGTGTGGAGGTCGGGTGTTCGATCCCTGCATTGACCGAGAAAGTTCATCCAGATTTTCTGGCGTGGTTCCCCCCTATCAGTGATGCAGGATGGAGGGCCTGACAAGGACAGCTGTCTAGTCCTTCGGATGAGACGAAAAACCGAGGTCTCGTTGGAATTCGATATAAGAGTAGGCGATAGTGCCGCTGCCCGGGCAAAATTTCCCTCATAGCACACTGTATGGCATATGCCCGTCTTCATTAGCCCAGTATAGGAGCAGAACATTTGTTGACTATTTAAAATACTAAACAGCCAAAAAAAAACGTAAGTACGATTTCAAAATCAGAGAGGCACGTTAATCAAATCATTGTAGAAAACGACTTACTAAATGGATCAAAGCAGTTTTTTGTGAACAATATGTTGACACATTAGTGATTAATTCATCACAATTCCAAGACCTTATGAGAAGGTTTAGAGTCTGTACACAGCCTATACATCAGTATCTGGTGTGTCCACCGTGAGTGTCAATAACACCAGCGCAGCGTCTGTACATGGAGTGGACCAGACGATTGATGAACACCATTGGCACCTGGAACCACACTCTCAGAAAAGCCTGGCGCAATCCATTGGCTGTGTTTGGTCTCGGTACAACGATATTAAGTCTCCTCTGAATTTCATCCCAAAGGTGTTCAATCAGGTTTAAGTCCGGACTAAGGGCTGGCCAGTGCATAACGTTTTAACACCGTTCTGCTGTAGAAAGTCCTGAAAGTTCTTTGTTGTCATGCTGGAAAACATTGTTTCGACGACGTGCGAAATGTGGTATGACGTGGGGTCTGAGAGCTTGATCGATGTAGCACTCTGCTGTGATGCCGCCTCCTCTCTCTGGACCAAGATTTTGGAACACCACAGGACCCACTCTCTGGTTCAGGCCGATTCAACCCGAAACCATTATGCTTTGACCTCCCCATGAGTCTTGTTCCATGACACATTGGTCACAATAACGCTGGCCATGGCGACGCCATATTCTGGTCCTGCCATCTGCAGTTGATACGCAATACCTACTCTCATTTGTGAAAAGAACAGTTCTCCATTGCCTGTGTCGCCAGTTCTCGTGTTGTTGGTCTTTACTTTGTCTAGGTATATCGCTGTCTGTCCTCTTAGGGCGCATGCGCTAGATATCCGCGCAGTAGCCTGGATGGATATTGCAACCTTTTGGTGGTTGGAGAGCAGGCAGGGATGAATCTTTTGAATTATTCTCATGGCTTCCCAATCAAAGAAGACTCGTTCTCTGAAACGTACGTCGACCGAGGAATTGGATCCTAACAATATACCTAATAAATCTTCCCGAACCTGGCCTAGATTTCTGGTTGTACAGAGTACAAATGACATCAACTTAGCTAAAACCTCTCCTTTCTTGATTGCTAAAGGTCTTGCCGGCTTGGCTGGTGAGCCTAAAAGCGTTAAGAAAATGAGAAATGGTACTCTGTTAGTGGAATGTGCTAAAGAATCGCATGCTTCATCATTATTAAAATCAACAACTTTAGCCAACATTCCAATCAAAGTTGCACCGCATAACTCTCTTAATTCTTCAAGGGGTGTTATTCGGTCTCAGGATTTAGAAGGCAGCTGTGAGGAGGAGATGCTTGAAAATCTCGCCTCACAAGGTGTTACTTACGTCAAAAGAATTTCCATCAGACGTAATGGCAATATTATCCAAACCAACACCTACATCCTGACCTTTGATAAACCAGATCTCCCTAGGATGATCAAGGCTGGCTTTCTTGCCATTGCAGTTAGCCCTTACATCCCAAATCTATTGTGTTGCTTTCATTGTCAACGCTTTGGTCATAGCAAAAATGTTTGTAAGGGCAAAGCGATGTGTGCTCGATGTGGACAAGATGGTCACGAAAGTACATCTTGTCAACTCGACCACCATTGCATTAACTGCAAAGGGCCTCATTTTGCATATTCTCGAGAGTGCCCTATATGGAAAAAAGAAAAACAAGTTCAACAGGTAAAAACAGAAAAAAACATATCGTATCCTGAAGCTAGGAAGTTGGTTGAGGCTACAACCCCAACATTTGCAATGTCTTTTGCAAATGCAGTCAAGCCAAAGACCACTTCTATTGCTTGCCACCTAAGAATAACAATAAAACTCCCGGCACTCGGGCTGAGATTGAGGCGATTGTGCCCCCTACTCCTCAATCAATTGGTGGAAAGCCACCCAAAATAATAAAAGAAAAGGAACGTAATGGTAAAGGCGTTCCTCAAAATTCAAAATTGAATTCCTTCCGCAGTAGGAAGGGTGACGAGGATCCTGTCGGAACCTATAACAGGTTCGGGATACAGGACAATCTCATGGATGTTGTTGTAGAAATACATGACCCCAAACAACATCACAGAAGTCCTGTTAAACCTCCCTGAAAATGGCCAATTCCATAATTCAATTGAATTGTCGTGGTCTTAAACCAAATTTTAATGAAGTTCAAATATTAATTCAAAAATTTAACCCCTTGGCTGTTTGTTAACAAGAAACTTTTTTAAAGAATTCAGATGTCTTAACACTCAGACATTTTGTTGCCTATCATCAATTTGCTAATAATGATGGTAGAGCACACGGTGGTGTTTCCATTTTCCTTAATGGAAATATTCCGCAGAGTAGTCACCCTCAATTCGCCCATACAGGCAGTTGCAGTGAGGGTGACTCTACATATTCCTATCACACTCTGCTCTGTATATTTACCACCTAGTTTACATCTGAACCCCAGAGAACTTGATGACCTTGTTGTGCAACTTCCTCTCCCGTTTATAATAACGGGAGATTTCAATGGTCATCATTCACTCTGGGGTAGTCCAGATGATAATATCAGAGGTAAACAAATAGCAGACTTCATTAACATTAATAATTTGTGTTTATTAAATGATGACTCGCCTACTTATCTACATCCTGCCACAGCTTCTTTTTCTTCCCTTGATCTAACCATTTGCTCTCCGGTCCTGTTTCAGGATTTTACATGGATAGTGAATGAAGATCTGTGTGGCAGTGACCATTTTCCCATCTTGATAGATAATAATGGACCCTCTCCGGTTGAAAGGCAGCAGAGGTGGAAGTTGCATAAGGCTGATTGGGCTCTTTTTGAATCTTTGTGTCTCTTCTCTTTTGATGCAAAAGAGTTAGAAGATGCAGATGAGCCCATGGCCTTATTCACTTCAATTCTTCAAGATGTAGCTGAGCAGGCGATTCCAAAGACCACGACTGAGCCGAAATGTTTCAATAAACCATGGTATAATAACGATTGCAAATCCGCTCTTAAAGAGCGTGATCGTATTTTAAGACGCCTTGAGAATCACCCTTCCATGGAGAATATTGCAGCATACCAAATGGTCCGGGCAAAGGCCCGTAGAACCATACGCCAGGGTTATGTCTCAAGAATAAATTCTCGTACCACTTCCAAATCGGTATGGGATAGGATTCGTAGAATTAAAGGTAAAAGTAGTGCATTATCAGTTAACCATCTAAATGTTGATAATTCCACCCTAACAACATTTCCTGATATCGCTAATTCTCTGGCCAGTACAATTTCATTCAATTCATCATCCAATTTCTCCTCTGATGCCTTTCGGAGCATTAAACATCAACAGGAGAAAAGGCGACTCAATTTCAAGTCCCATAATGATGAGTGTTATAATGAAAAGTTTTCTATTGCTGAACTCCGTGATTCTCATAAACGGGCATGAGATACTGCAACTGGTCCAGATGAAATTCACTACCAGATATTAAAACATTTACCTTTTTCTACACTCTTAATATTATTAGATCTGTATAACTGGATTTGGGTTGATGGGAATTTTCCCCCATCATGGCGTGAAGCCACCGTAATTCCCATCCCTAAACCGGGAAAATATCATACGAATCCTACCAATTATCGTCCGATCGCTTTGACTAGCTGCATTTGCAAAACCATGGAGAGATTGATCAATCGAAGGCTTGTTTGGTACCTTGAGTCCAACAACCTCATTACAGACCTCCAATGCGGATTTCGGTCCCAAAGGAGCACTCTTGATCATCTCGTACGATTTGAAACGTTTGTCGGGGATGCTTTCATCCAGAAACAACATTTAGTTGCTATATTTTTTGATCTGGAGAAAGCTTATGATACCACATGGAAATATGGTATCATGCGCGACCTGCATAACCTCGGTCTGCGGCGGTCGCTTACCTGTCTTCAATAAAAACTTCTTAGAAGATAGGTTGTTTAAGGTTCGTTTGGGATCAATATAGAATCAGTTTAGGAGCATTTCGAACATCTCCAATGCAGAGTTTATACGTCGAGGCCCACGAGCCCTCATTGCACGACAGACGTGATAAACTTGCACTGCAGTATGCTACAAAAATTGCATCTCTGCCTCATCATATTTCATTTAACACCATATTTAGACCCTATCATGAACATCTATATTTACCTAATGTTATTCCATCATTCGGTATTCGCATTCAACCCCTTTTGTCTCAGGCTGGTATCAGCCAAGACAGTATTGCGAATACCCCATTCTTTGAGACACCACCATGGTCTATATCTCCTCCCAAGATCAATCTCGATCTCACAAAAAACAAAAAGAAAGATACTAGTTCCACAGTGTTTCAGTCTAAATATGGTGATTATGCTCCAATTTATACAGATGGTTCCAAAGATGGCGATCGGGTAGCTTCGGCTACTGTCACGCCATCTGAGACCATTTCTGTTCGTCTTCCTCCTGCTGCTTCCATATTTACTGCTGAACTCCAAGCCATCTTTCAGGCTTTGGAGTTCATTAAATCCTCTTCATCTTTAAAACACATTATATACTCAGCCAAATTAAAAACTTGACACTCGGGATTTTTGGGACTAGATTTTTAATATTTGGTTTAAGGCAACTATTTTAGTGTTATGTTGTGCA